AAAAAAAATACAAATCCTTTAACAAGGCCTCTGGCCTTGAGCTGGAGCCTTACAAAGGTGCCTACATTTCTAAGATAAGTTACCAATTGGGCTCCATGGTAACAGCTGGCAGGGGCAGGAAAGAAAGGGGAGAAGAAGCTCTCCCTTTCTCAGGCAATGTCCTTGAAAGATTAACTTGCCCAAAACAGTTAAAGAAAAAGCTGCTTTTAAATGAACTTCTGAGCTCCTCCCCTTATACACTAGGTGTAAAGTTCTGAAACTACCTGAACTTGGGGTTCAGGGGATTAATTGATTACAGCAAAAGTTGTATGCTCTGAATCTGGCTGCAGCCAAATAAAACTATTTCTGGCTACCTTTGGTGCCCTGCCTTGTCTGTCCCCTATAAGAAGTCCACAAAGCCATCAGTTTCCTGGGGCAAGGAATGGTCTTGTGGCCTCCTGAGGCCTGTCAGATAGGTCAGAAAAGCCAGAGATTACATGGACATTTCCCATCTCCAGACTGAAGATTAGAATTTATTTAGGTTCTCTGACCAAAGAACAAGTCAACTGAACAGGTGAAATGTAGAAAAAAATATGAAGAGCAAGTTCCTCAGCCAAGTCCTCAATGGTGGTCCCTGACATGGCAAAGCATGTGCAGAAGAATTTGCTACCCTCATTTGCTACCCCTCTGTGCTCAGAGGTCTCCCTGTAGTTTGGACGTCCTTGGAGAGATTGTAGGGTGTCTTTCTGCGAAAAGGAGAGATTCTCTAGCTCTTTGTCTACATAAAGCACTTAAAAAAAAATCTCAGCCCAGTTCTTGTCACACAGTTGTCAGATCTATAACTTCCCATGGATCCACATTCCCAAGATGCTGGCTTGGCCTCAAAAACACTGTCTGACTAACCACTGCATACCAAAGCAGCTCAGCTTTGCCCTCAGGCTGATGCAGAATTTCTACCACTACACTGTGATCATTTTAGAAAATTGGGAGCTATATATAGCAGCAACCAACTGCTTATTTAACATGAGAAATAAAAGGCAGATGCCCTGGCAGCTCTGCAGCTAAATGAGTTTGTGTTATGAGAACAAGTTCTGCTAAAGAGAGGCAGGCAGTAGTCCTCTCTTGACTGATAGCACAGAGACAGGGAGATTCTGGAGGACAAGGAAAACTGCACCCTCCAGGACTGAGGCTGATTAGTCTGGGCTAATGAGAGGGTGGAAATGGCCCATTTTAAAACAATTAGAGAAAAGACCAGTGTTAGTTTGGGAATTCTGAACTAAGAGGTCTCTCAGGCAGTCAAAAGTCAATTTCAGGAGTCCTCTCCTGGCCAGAAAGCCTGACTCTGGGGGTTCATTTCTGCACCAATTTTGCATGCACTGGGGAGCATTTCAAAGATATTTGTAGAACCAGTTTGATCCAAGTTCTTTTGGAGCAGGAAAAGCCCCTTTTAGATAATGAAAACATCTTTCTGATCAGTGAAGGTTTAGCTCCCCCCTTTCTGATTCTTCTCAAACAGTAAGAAAAGGAAAGTGAGTGAAATGATCACCTTGTTTTCCTCTCACTTGTAAATAAAGGGGACCATGGGTTGAACTGGCTTTTCATGGACTTTTAGGGCAGATTAATCAAGTAGGATTGGTGAGGAGGGACCCTTAGGGAGGTCATGGTGGCAATTACTGGTACTCTTGCCCCTGCACCTTGAGCTTTACATTAACCTTTTAGTCTTATGTTCTTTGGAGCCAAAAGGTAAAGCAGACTTTCTCAGAGAGCAGGCTGGGCTGCCACAGACCCTCCAAAGGCAATAATGCCAGGGTGAGCCCCAGGCTCTCACCACAGCCTTCTTCAGCTCTGCGGTCATTCGGTCCTGCCAGGCAAAGCACAGGATGTGCGGCAAATAGAGGGTGAAGTAGATGACGCCACTGCAGGCTGCTGCCAGGCTGGCCTTGGAGAAGAAGGTGCTGAGCAGGAAGCACTGCATG